GAGAGAGAGAGAGAGATTTTGTGTCAAAAGTAAAAGAAGGAGAGTTTTGAGTGGAGTCAATTTAAAAGACTGTGGACATATATTTTTCTTTTCCAAATTTAAACTGAAGCAGGGACAATTTTGTTGCTCTCATGCAAGAATCTTTTCTTGCCCTTTTTGAAGACAATAACAAATGTTTTTTTTATTGCCACTTGAAAAAGGAAGTGATACCTTCATTAAAGGGCTAAGGTTAAAATAAGGCTTAGGTCTTATGGAAAAAAGTGAAGCCTCATCTCAAAACTCATTGAAAATTGTAGTACCGGGATAAAAAAACCTTCAAATCGATCATCTCGACCTTGACCATTATGGTTATGAAAAAACAAAAGGATTTCAAGCCCAACGAATAGTATATAATACATCACATCTTGTAGACCATCCATTTTTCAAGTGTTCTCAAATCCACATAGAGCTATACTTTTTTTGTGCTACAAATTTTTAAGCGGTAGTGAAAATTGATTTTAGAGCCATTATAAAGATTTTTTGTGCCTAAAGTATTTTTCGGATGAGGTTTCGAGATAAAGCTTTACTTTTTTACATAAGGCTTAGGTCTTATAGAAACTACTTCCTTAATTAAATAAACCAAAAATATATTCTACTTGCCCACGAGTGGACAGTCCATTTACTCCTCAGGTAAAACCCAACTTAGAATTAATTTTAGGATCACAAATTTAAAAGATGTAACCTCTTCAACCTATATATTAACCCAAATAAACAACAAACTCCTAATTGTAATCTCTATGCACTTGAAAAAATAATCTATTAAGATTTAATAGAGACCATCAATTTTTAGATTGGCGAGATCTAAATGTTAAAAAACTCAGATTTCAGTTTTTTTTAGAATAATCATTTATTAATTCTTAAGTGGTATCTAAAATTTCAGATAAACAAAATCCTCTCAGGTCTTCTGACGGAAGAAGTAGAGGCAAAACTATGCTCCCTCCCCAGGGAGCATAGTATACATGCTCATTGAATAAGAATGCATTTGTAATCTTTATATTTAGATATTGCAATTCCCACTTAAAACTTTCAAAATCTCACCCAAAAAATTACCAAAATCATCATGAAGTTTCCAGTGACAGTGGCAAAAAGGTACATTTACTTAAATAAAATGCAACATAAAGTCATAAATAAAAGAAACCGTTTATATAAGGTTGACACCTTAAAGTGTAGAATTAAGATACCTCAAAAGTCCCTCGAAAAAAGTTATTTTTATGTTGGACAACATATAATTGATCATCTTGATATCGAGACGTATGGATATAGAGAAAATAAAGAGTGTGTCCAAAATAGTACATTTTGAATCCCAAAATTAGTATATTTTGTAATATATTATATAGACTGTCTATTTTCAAGCTTTTCATGTGTTTCTGGATCTGCTTGATTTGAACCTTTTTTCTTTTGGGAAAGCTGTCTATGTCTTCCCTACAACATAGAAGTTCTATCCTCCCCCTACCATCGAGCCGTCCATTTTTTATCAAGAGAGCCACTCACAGTTTGATTTTAGACCTGACGTCTCAAAGTATTTTATTTTTAGTTCTTTAATAAAAAATTGCTGAATATGAAATTTGGTACGTGTCATATTTTCATCGAGGCGCACCTATAAAAAATATTAACAATAATTTTTTGATAAAAATAATGACCAAAATACCCCTTTAAACTTTAAGGGATATTTTGGTCATTTTATTTTATTGAATTTTTTTTTTTTTTTTCGTTATTACAAGCTTAATAGAGGAATAGGCATCCAAAATTTAGTATCAAAATAGTTTATAAAAAAAATTAAAAATAAAATAGTGTAGAGACGTGACATTGTGATTGGGGCAATCTTAGTTCTCCATTAAAAAATGGACGGTTTGCTAAGGGGATGGACATGACTTCTATGTTGTAGGGGAACATAAAAAGCTTTTCCTTTTTTTTTATTAGAGTTCAAAATTTTATAACTAGAGATAAAAATAGATTACAGTGCCATTCTAAGAATTTTTGATACCTGAATTGCATATTATGGTAATGTTTGGAGGTATATCTTATTTTGATTGTTCAAGGTTGCAGCCTTATGCAAAACCACACCCTAATTAAGGGCATACTTGTCATGAAAGAATTTATTCATGTAGTTATGCATGGGAATATTTTCACACCAATTGGTCCCAATGCATCTTTTCAGATAATTAGTTTGAAAATATTCCCTTACCCATTCGTATAAGAGAAATTTTCAATGAAAAAATATTTGCGGAAAAGGATTTTTATGCCAGCCTAATGTGCCCTAAAAAAAAAAAAGGAGAATTGTTTCATGTTATAAGGTCATGCATTTCTACATTTACGGTCCCCTAGGTAAAAAGTATCCATCTTAAATATGGATGCAAATTGGTGGTCCATCTAAAAAGAATTGAAACCTATGGTCCAAATATTTTTTTAATATAATTATTATTTTTAAGTTTTAGAATTCATTTATTTTTTCATGATCTCCATGTAAAAAGAGGCCCACAAATTTATCACAAAAATAGATTTTAAAAGGCGACTCATTTCTACATGGACAGATAGAAACCGTCTAAAAAACAACGTACTGGTTTGATGTAAACTCGAAAGTAAGTAGGAGAGAGAACAAAAAAAAGAAGAGAGAGAAAAGAGGCGAGGAGAGAGAACAAAGAAGCGGGAGGAGAGAGAGAAAAGAGGAGAGAAAGAGTATAGAGAGAGAGTGGGATTCTGGTACGATAGATCCCGTTTTTTGGGGTTGTTTCTTTTGTCCAAGTTGTAGTAAATCCGGCAAGCAGGGCCTGTTTCAGTTCGGGTTTCTCTCTCTAAAGCGTGTGATGGTGGTGGAATTTTCGACAATGGATCATCACCCTGAGTCCCCTGATTCTCCATCATATGTCTCCTCACCCGATGTCTCTCACAAGAGATCCACTAACCCCAACCCAACTAGCCCTGGTAAAAAAAAAGGCCATCTCTTTTCTCTGCGAATTTTTTTCTGGTCAAAGTTCAGTATTTGGGTCTTATTCTTTGCCATTTGCTTTGTCAATTGATCTTCTACCTTGGGTTTTATGCATTGTGAAATTTGGTGCTTTTTATTATGGGTCAATGGATTTTACTGGTTTGATTGTTATAAATTACAGAACAGATCTATGCCTATCTGTTTTCTGTATTCTTCAGATGTTGCGTTTCTTGTTATTTTGAGAAACTTATTCCTTATTGGATGGATAATGGATAATGCATTGTAGTTCGAATGTGCCTTTGGCTAGAGGAGAGCAATGCTGGTTTGTTTGGGTTGACATTTTGTATGTGCAAGGCCATTTATTTTCTTGTACAAATTTATTTGATTGTTTGCAATTGTATTTTTAGATTGGGAGTGATAACAGTGTTGGGTTTCTGATATTCTTGAAAGTAGATTTGTTAATTTTGATTGACTGCGAAGAACTTGCTTTATTGGTGACATGGGTCAGTAGATAGATATATATGTGCATATTGGATATACCGGCTTTGGGCTATTTATTGATGCATTTGTTGCAGAGAATGTGGTTAGAGTGCTGCATAAGGCTCATGTTTACTGTATTGTTGGGTCTGGTTTTTGGTGAAAGCATGGGGGATTGGGATCAATTTAGTAGTCATTGGGTTGTTGGGACTATGGTGCTGAGCGTATGTGCATCTGTTTTTGTGCGTTGCTATCTCTTTGATTATTGGATTCAATTCCATGTACTGTAGGATTGTTACACTTTTTAGCTAGAGAAGGGAATTCCTTTTGTTTTTTCTTTGACATAGATATGTGCCCTCTGTTACCAATGAAAGATGGTAAGTTATTCTCTGTGTTACTTTCATGCAAATTGCACTATTTCTCCTTGACAGTAATTGAGTCATAGGAGATAGAAAGAAACAAAGAAAAGAGTGCCAGTTTTCTCCCTGAAACTAGGCTTAGAACACATAAGAATGGAATTGAGAGCAGTCCTCTTGAAAATGGGATGTCTCCCTAGAAGGAGAATTTGGATGATTGACTTTTTAGTGAGAGGGGAACAATAGCATTGGGGGTTTTTCCCTAACTTCTGGGGTTCCTGATGTTTGTAAAAGACAATAAGAAAGAGAGTTTCTTTGGAGATAAAGGAACAATGATGTTGTATAGTGTTTTCCCTAACTTCTGGGCTTCCTGATGTTTGTAAAAGACATTAAGAAATAGTGTTTCTTTGGAAGGAACAATGATGTTGTAAAGTGTTTTCTCATTAATCAATATCTTCCAATGGTGTATAAGAATACATTAAGAAGAGAATGCTTCTAGATTAATAACTGCTAGTGGCCTAAAAGGCATAAAATAAAAAAATAACCAGGCCGGTAGATGACATATACTCCTCAACTGTAGTTACTTCTTGGAATGGATATTTCTTTTACTCATTCTTGTCGATTTTAAAAGTCGAACGATTGGTACTTGGTTCCCGTATACTTGTTCAATTTTAGTTCTATCCTTATGTCAATGTTCGCACTGCATTGACTATAATATACAACATGCTTTTGCAAATAAATTTGAGGAGGGTTATATCTGCAATGGATAATATTCTTAGACAGATGGTAATCTGTATTTTACTTCCAAGTTCTCCATCCTTTTTTCATTTTCATTTTTCCTTTTTAGAAATTGGGATCATTCAAATGGTCGGTCATTTCAAGTCCATGCAGTTGGTGTTGCTTATGTCTATATGAAATAATTTTATTTTTCCTTTTCTTATCAGTGCTGACAAAATATCCCCATATCATATTTTAGTCTTATATTCCTTTTGAATCTCATGTTATATCTTTCCCAATATGCACACACATGTATACCTTGTTTATGTGCTAAGTGAATTTTTTTGTCATTGGTCATGGCCACTTGTTAGACAATAAGGAGAAGCCAGCATCTGTTAGGTTCCTCGTATCAAATGCAGCTGCTGGATCTGTCATTGGAAAGGGTGGTTCAACAATAACAGAGTTCCAGTCACAATCAGGAGCTCGCATTCAATTGTCTCGTAATCATGAATATTTTCCAGGAACAACTGATAGGATAATTATGATATCTGGAACTGTTGACGAGATACTTACAGCCATGGACTTTATCCTTTCAAAGTTGCAGAGTGAGGTATGTATTATGTTTTGTTGTCTATCAATCTTAATATCTTTTTTGTATGGACCTTCTTCATTCTTATGTAAGTTGGTTTCTCTTATCGGATAGTTACACAATGAAGATGGTGATGATGTGGACCCTAGACTAAAGCTGAGACTCATTGTCCCAAATAGCGGTTGTGGTGGCATCATTGGCAAGGCTGGATCCACAATTAAGTATGATTTGCTTCACGTTTTTCATAGCTGGCCTAAGTCTTGTTTTGTCTCTGCAATATCTGAAGAAAACGACTTGAATTTACGATCATTGTTTTCCTATCTTCATTTTGCTTTTACATGACATTATTTTTTATTTTCATTTTGTTTTTTATTTTAATTATTTTCCTGTTTTGATGTTTCTTTTTATCCATGTGAATTATAATGAGATTAAAGTTATTTGTAATTATAGTGGCTGTGAATGTGCTCTAAATGAGATTCAATAGGTGGAGTTTGAATGTTTCATACATTTTATGCTATAATCAGTTATATCTCTATCCATGTGTATAATTCATATCATCATTATCATCCTAGCCTTAGCCCAACTATTTGAAGTTGGCTACACAAATCCGGTTCCGTTGTTTTGCTCTATCAAGAGATGTGTAGGATTTATATGAATGTGATTACTCACTTGGCAGGTTGATACTTATTTGGTGAGTGCGCCACTTATTGGGATGGTTGAATATTACATCGTGGATACAAGCGATATTCCTTAACATTTTGATTGACATTTTGGGATGCAAATTATCACAATTAAAAGGCTGACATTTTTTGTTACATCTTGGTTAAATTTCGGCTTCTGTAGCGAGAAAGGAATCAATTCAGTCAAATAACTGTGAAGTCTGCTTGTTTTGGAAGAATTTAGCCTTAAGCATACCTAGACCAGAAATAGTCTGCTTGTTTTGGAAGAACTTAGTCTGAAGCATACCTAGACCAGAAATGGTGTTTCCACTCCAATTTTACTTTAAGCAACGAAAGAAAAGGAAATTATGAGACTGCAAGAATCTTTTCCTTTCCTGATTAGTGAAATTCCAGAATGGTAGTGCCTCCCTTTGTACAGAGTTCTTGCCACTAAGGGCATGGCTTGATCAGCATTTACTATAGTTAACAAATTTGGCCAAATGTTGCAAATAAAGTTGCAATGTCTATTGATTCCACTCTTTGTCTACAAAGCACATACAAATGTTTATGGACTTATCAGTCTGGCCCATTAGATCATTAAACAATGTTAACATTTTCTATGAAAAGTGGAAATCTTGGTAACCCCATCCTTGGTTACTGTGAAACAAATTTTAAACCTATCAAAACCTGCAACTTGCTCCACTTTATAACCATGGGAATCTGCAAGCTTTTTGATGCAGGGCCGAGATGCAAGATCCTCTCAGTGAAAAGGACAAGATCCGTCATGTTTTGAGATATTTTGGGGATGATTATAAAGTCTTTGTTTCCTTTGTGATGATGAAGACTTCATTTCCCTCGTTTCGTGAATTGCAGCCGTTATTGTTGCAACATGAAGCGTTATTCGCCCTCTTGCCCTCACTGGAAAAGTTTTCTTCGACCGATTCTCATCATTTTTGTTTGTTAAAGAGTAATTGAGATATTAATACGGGCTAGAATTCAAATTGTAGTGGAAGAGGTAGAGGATACAGAGGTAGAGGACTTGGAGGTTGAGGTGGAAGAACTAATTTTCATCCTAATCAGGTGGTTTGCTACCTACTCCTTCAGCAATATCATTTGTCTTTTTAGTTGGTGGTGTTGTTTGCTAGATATGTGGAAGCAAGAATCTTATAGCCATTAAGTGCTATTGTTATTAAACCCAGCCAGTTGAAAGTAAAGTTGCCGCCCTAAATCCTTCCAGCTAGTGGAAAGTAAAGTTTATGCCCTTAATCATTTTCTAGAGGAGTTAGCTATCTTATCACCTATAAAGACATGTCGGGTTATGGATAGTGGTGTTGTAAATCATGTTTAGGGTGTGTGGTTTGTTCTTATCCCTAATTCCTTACTTTCATAATGGCTTTATTGTGATTGGTGATGGAACCTCTCTGAATATTCAGGAAGTGTCATAGTTCACTCCTCATATGGTCATATCTACGTATCTAATGTTGTCTTTGTTCCTAAGATGTGCCAAAATTTTATTTCAATTTCTCAGTTAGCCCAAGAAAATTCTATTTTCATGTGTAGTTACCCCTGATTTTTTCTTTTTTAAGGAACAACAATTGGGATAACATGTGCTAAAGTGTCTCGTCGGGGAGCTTTATATTATAAATGACCCTCTCAAGGAGAAATTCTCATTGTTTTTTTCTTCACTTCGTATAAATTAAGATGCCAATGTTTAGCATCATCGTTTAGGTCATTGCAGTTCTGAGTCTATGAATAAATTATGCAAAGAGAGCTTGATTCCCTCTAATCTTGAGATTCAATCTTCCTTTGTGTGTCATGGATGTTAGTTGGGTAAACATGTGAAATTTCCCTTTATGATTTATAATAAAAGCGCTTCTACTCCCTTTCAATTAATTCATTTTGTTGTTTGGGGTCCTACGTAATTTTCTTTATTTGGTTCTTTAATATTATGTCATTTTCAGATGATTTCTCTCATTCAACTTGAATATTCCTTCTTAATAAGAAATCCACTGTCTCTCATGTTTTTATGAAATTCAAAATCCTTGTTGAAAAACACTTCCGAAAGCCTATATATTCTACTTTCGTAATGCTCGAGGGGGAGAGTTTCCATCCCATAAATTTAGAACCTATCTGGAGGATAATGGGGTAAAACAACAAATATCATGTGCAGACACACTTGAGCAAAATGGAGTAGCAGAGAGAAAACATAGGCATATCAATGAAATTGCATTGTTCATGATGTTTATGAGTGGAGTTCTTAAGTATTTATGGACAGAAGCATTTCGTTCAACAGTTTATCTCATCAATATGTTGCTTACAAATGTTCGACATAGAAAGTCACCTTGCTAAGTTCTGCTTTGTAAGGACCCTGATCCACATTACGCTCTTTTGAGTGTTATGCCTATGTCTATATTGACTAGTGCCAGAGAAATAAGTTGTCCCCAAAGGCAGACATTTGCGTTTTTACAGTGTATACTGATGAATACAAGGGGTACAGGTGTTGCAGTCGTAGATTGAAAAGAGTGCTTATATCGAGCCATGTAACCTCTGATGAAAGTAGGATTTATATGCCTCCTTGTTTTATGGATGTAGATGATTCAGGTAAACTTGGAGGTGCCATTGCAGCAAGAAATCTTGGTCGACCCATGAATGAAGTTGTAGATGAGACACCATTTTTGGTGTATAAAGGTGTAGGTAGCGGTGATGAGCAACACAATCATGAGCGGGAGATGATTGAGGAAACTCCTCTAATATCTGGGAAAGAGTTCGCGGAGTATGTGGACCAGGGTTTAAATGAAGGTTCTCATAAAATTGAAGTCCCTCATAGATCGGCCAAAGATATTTGTACAGTAAATAAGAAGGTGTGAAGGGCAGCAAGGTGATTGTCCAAATGAGGACTCTCATGGTCCAGATGAAGACTATCCCAAACATCAGCTAAGGATATTATAGTATATCTAAGAAGAAGGCGTGAAGGGCAGCAAGAAGATAGGCCAATTGAAATTCAAGAGAACACTTAAAACCCACGGAGGTCTACCGGAACTAAGCACAAAATTGATCAATGAGTAAGTTATAACAACTTCACTCATAGTTTTCAAATTTTTTTATGTGCACTTTTCAAAATAGGGAGTCTAGAACTTATCTTGAGGCAAGTGAAGATAGGCATTGGATCGGGGCTATGGCAGAAGAAATTAAGGGTACGTACATCAATAAGATTTGGGAGATACTTCCTACACCTGCAGATAAAGATGTAGTGGGCTACAAGTGGGTTTATAATGCGAAGTACTAGTCAGATGGCAGTGTGGAAAAGTTTAAAGCAATGATGGTTGCAAAATAGTTTGATCAACATCATGGACTTGATTACGATGAAACATTTAGTCTTGTGGTTAAAATAGTGACAATTGGAGTGGTTATATCCATTGCTTTAGCCTATGATTGGTCTCTTTTCAGTTGGATGTTAAGAATGCCTTTGTGCATGGAAAGTTGGTTGAAGAGGTCTACATGGAACAACACAAACTCCAAGAATGTGGTCTCAGTGTTTTCATAATTCGTTAAAAGGAAGGGATTTTGTTAGGGTAGTATCAGATCATTCATTATTAATTTGTCACAACAAGGAAACTGTTATTGTCATTATGCTTTATGTTGATAACATTATAATTACTGGGAGTTCTATACTCCTGATTGATGGTGTCAAGAAATTTTGTATGATAGATTTATGATAAAGACTTAGGTAAGTTGAGATACTTCCTGGGAATTGAAGAAGATGGAAATGAGAATCAAATTTGGTTGTTTCAACAGAAGTACGCTCTAGACCTTCTTGAAAAAGCAAATACGACTGATTGTAGGCCATATCGTACACCAACTGCTCCAAACAAAAGGTTAAGGATATTTGAAGGACAACCTTTAGATAATCCAGAGAGACAAAAGTTAGCAGGGGCATTATAGTGTCCCACTCTCACCAGGTCTGATATATCATACATTGTTAACCATGTGTGTCAATTTACGCGTGCTCCCATTGGCTTTGTCATGGAAATGTTGAAGATAATAGTCAAATATGTTAAAAGGAACAGTGGATCATGGGCTGCTCTATGAAAGAAACAACATGAATAAATTGAATATTGCTTCTATAGTTTGGTACTCTGATTCAGAGCGATCTGGAGATTCAGATTTTAGAATACTAGTCTCAGGTTATGGTGTCTTTCTTGGTAGGAATCTAGTTTCATGGAGAAGCAAGAAACAAAAAATTGTTGCGAGGTCTAGTACTGCGGCCGAGTATCGAACACTTGGAGGTATAATTTCTGAGATTTCATGTAACAAAGTATTGTTTCTTTTTTTGGAACGGAAATATTCAAGTCAACAGTTTACTGTGACAACAAGAGTGCTCTGACAATTTCAGCAAATCCAGTATTTCATGATAACTAAACACATTACGATAGATTGCCATTTTGTTCATGAGAAAATTGAACCCGAGGAAATAGATGCTTGCTTTATTGGGACCGAAAATCAAGTAGCTGATATCTATCACAAAAGGGCTTGCAAAATATAGACATGAGTTCATAAAGAAG